TACCGGGAGGCAGTTCGACGTCGCCTAATCTTCGCATCATCAACTCCGACCGGATTCCAATCCGACTCGCGGCAAATACGACTTTCAAGGTAAGATCCGGCCAATCTACCACAAAACTCAGTTCCACTGCGATTGTCAAAGAAGCGACTCAAGGACACTCGTGGCACTGTGGTCCTTTGGTTCCCGTGTCGAGGTTACACGTTGAACTGTCATGGTTCGAGTCCCGCTGGTGGTGTTGATAGGGCCTAGACGAGGTCGAAACTGCAGTCCACTCCTGCCTGGAGGGGAACGACTTTTGGGAAAGCAAGGCTCTGTGAAATGCCATGGAAACATCAGCTCTACTCTCATCAGATTGTGGCCAAATGTTACGTTCACACTTTCATCACCTTAAACAAAATATGTTAATCACAACTCATATATTTTAAGATTTCCGTCAATCTTGCATAACAACCTGCCAGCTTTTTTCATCGGCATTATTTGGGTCATTGCCGATTCGTTGTCCGACTTCAAGTGACCCTTGAGTCTCCTTTTGGCTCTGACGTCGCCAAGTTGGTTGTCGTCTCGTCGGTTGACGCCTCGGGCCTCGGACCTCGGGCACTGCATGTGAATGTGGTACCTAAAGAAGCGGCATTGTGCGATCTAACGTCGGATGGTACAGAAGGGCATGAGAGAAGTCCCAGCGGGGTCCGGCAGAAAGCACTTGAAAGGAACCGTTCGCATCGGATCCGGCCAATCCTGCCGCTTTGACCGTCTTCCCAACTGCACCATTCGTCCAGATCGCCCGCACTTCGAGAGTGTTGTTGGCAACATTTGCCCATGCACACGAACACAACTTGGAATTGGGTCCGGTCGGGCGAAGCGATCACGTCGGGACGTTGTGCCCGACGGCCACGCACGTAAAGACGATCGAAAGCCCGCCCTGACAGCTCGGCAGGAGTCCACTTGTCGCGGTTAGCAAATGATCATTTTTGCATTTATTTACTATTTACAAAATAGATTAGATTTCCAGAATTTGTATGAGCCGCCGTATTGGCATATTTTAATTTGATTATGCAACGGCGGCACACAAAAGTGCATGTACAGCCTAATGGGTCCGGTCGTCAAGACTGTCGAAGGACCCAGTTGAAAAAAGTCTTGTTACCAGGGGTTGGTTCTGCAGATTGCGTCATGGTTCTGCGATAAAGAGCAGATAAAAGCAAGATTTTGTAGACATTAGCTTAACGAATAATT